TAGGTGACTAGGCTGTATTGTAACATCCGCTGTTGCATTGTAGATAAACAATGCCACGGCAACATTACCGGCGTTTTGTAAGCACTCGATCTGTCACCTTTACGGTGCATTGGCGATTGGTTCAGCTGTTAAGTCCAATTGTTTTATTTTTGGTAAATCAATAAAACAATTTGTCAATAGGCACAATAATATTATCAAACGGATTTCCGAGTTTTAAAATTAAGGCTTGTCCTTAAGAATTTGGACTTACTGTCAAAATACTACAATTTAAGTGTCACACTTCGGACAAATTCATAAATTGACAAAGATCTATGGTACAATCAAATAATTACTCGCTAGATGAATTCACAGTCCACATTTATACGTCTGCAGTAACGCCAAGAACTTCGATATTGTTGATCGAAGGCCAAGAATTATTGTAAACAGAAAATCTACAACTGTTCATATAAAAATCAATAAGAAAACTGTTTTTGATGTCATTTTGTATTGCCTTATATTTTCCACGTATGCATTTACCTAGTACATAAACGCAATAATTCCGCGCAAGGAACCGCTATAACTATACGTAAATGATGGTTTCACTGTCAAATTCACAAATATCAAATACGAATAACTATGTGATTTTTACCTATAAATGAATAATTACCCACCATTAGATAGGCTATATTTGAGGAGCTCGATGGCGCGGGTGGTTAGCGTGTTCGGCTGCGATCGTTGAAGTTAAGCAACTTTCGCAGTGGTCGGTCATTGGATGGGTGACCAAAAATCTTCTATCGCGAGTTCCTCCGTGCTTTGGTAGGCACGTTAAGCCGTTGGTCCCGACTGCATCTGTAGTCGTTAGCACCTGCCAATCCGCACTGGGCCCGCGTGGTGGGTCATGTCCATATCTCTTTTCCATCCATAGGGAAGGCCTGTGCCCCAGCAGTGGGGGCATTAATATGCTGATGAGGAGGTAGGCTATTATAAATGTCTTACTTGATATTTTTAAAAAATCCGCTTTAAAATGTTTTACTTCTATACCAATTTCGTCATCCTTGCACACAAGCGGGCCGGCGGCATCGTGTCTGTCTGTCTGTGTGTCGCAGATAAGATCAACTGCGTGTAAGTTAATAATATGAGTGTGGGAACTAATTACCGTATTGGAACTGGGTCGTGATCTTAAACTTTTTTTTATCCCATTTTTTTGTTCGTATTATATTTAAATGACCTTATCAGAGTTGCACAAACAATTGAACTGGCGACATGATCACAAAAAGTTCGCTCTTTTTTGCATCTGTCTATTATAATAATATAAAAATTTATACCCATTGAAAAGATAAAGGTATCGATGCAAAGGCTTAATAAATCTTAGAAAATATTTTGGTTAGGACTCAAATATGATTTATTTTCATTTAACAGGTAATGTTAAAATAGTTATTTTTTTATGCTCATATAATATGAACTAATATGATTTAGGTGCACGTTCGTGTATAAACTATCCTTTTATAAATCTTCTTAGATATCTTCTGTTTAAGTCCATTATAAAAACTCATAGCCATTATATGCACCTATATATATACATATATATGTATACATATATATGTATACATATATATATATATATACATATATATGTATGTGAAAAGTTACTCAGACATTCACGTCCTTCGATCAGTTGACGTCAGACTAATCACGAAAGCACTTGGACTTTTTGATCTATAAAGGATTCCCCTCTGAAAGAGACAAAAACAAGGGAGAAAAGTAGTGTTATTTCTAGGCTCATGAAAATGTATATCTGATTAGGCTTCTGGTAATTCAAAACAAATTTACAGTTATAGGTTTTTGAAACTTTGTCCCCTGCCGTGTTATAAAACCAGGGAATGAAAGTTTGTTATCTACGAATACGTCACAGCTTATTAATGTTCCCACTGATGGGGCACATGTCTTCCCTATGGATGCCATCGAGAGATTGGACCATGACCCATCAAGTAAGCCCAGTGCGGATTGGTGGGTGCTTACGACTGTAAGCACGAAGGAGCTCGAGATATTAAGTTTTTGGTCACCCATCCAATGACCGACCATTGCGAAAGTCGCTTAACTTCCACGATGGCAGGCCGAGCGCGGACAATGTTATTATTAAGGGTGCTTTAGAAAGAAAATAATTGCGTAGATTTTCGTGTCCAGTTCTTCTATTAATTCTGTATTGGAGAGCTATAGAACGTGTGGCTTACTTGAACTGCATAACAGTACCCTTAGCACGAATTCGAATAGTTTTACGAGTGCGAAATATCACTGTCAAGTTTTTGTATGGAAACTTGAACAGCAGCGCCATAATGTACGTAACGAGAACTAAAAATCAGTACACATTTGACAATAACATTTCACACTCGCTAACTATTCGAATTCAATATTGTTTCGTGTTAAGAGTATAACAGTTCGTATTCGTAAAGCAAAAATATCATCGATGCTTAATGTGTAAAAAAAAGGAAATCGCTTCACAGTAGGAAATCGATTACTATCTGCAGGTACATTTCTCGTATAATTCACACAACACAAATCATCATTAACCACTTAACGTTCCCGACACGTACAATATTGTTTCAAAGCTAAAAAAACGCTTACAAGCGAAGAAGCAACTGGTACGAAGAAACTCTTGGTTATCTATTGAAATCGCTTCATTGTTACGATACGTTGTGGGAAACGGTGCCCGGAAACTTTCCAAGTCGAAACTCGAGATTTGTATGGGAGTGCGTGAAATAGATAAGATAGGGAAACGCAAAACGCGGCGTGTTAGCCAATTTGTGGTTCATATCGTTCTAGAATGTTTTTAACCATTCTAGTTAAAAAGGAGGAAGATCTCAATTGGACTGTATTTTTGGATGATTGTTATGTGATTTCCCCGTATCAAGTTTCCGAGATTTGTATGGGAGTGCGTGAAATAGATAAGAAACGAAAACGCGGCGTGTTAGCCAATTTGTGGCTCATAACCTTCTAGAATGATTTTTAACCAATTCAAGTTAAAATGAGGTGCATCTCAATTGGACTGTTTGTTTTGGTATGATTGTTACGCGATTTTGCCGTATCAAGTTTCCGAGATTTGTATGGGAGTGCGTGAAATAGATAAGATAAGAAACGCAAAACGCGGCGTGTTAGCCAATTTGTGGCTCATAACCTTCTAGAATGATTTTTAACCAATTCAAGTTAAGAGGAGAAGCATCTCAATTGGACTGTTTGTTTTGGTATGCTTGTTACGCGATTTCCCCGTATCAATTTTCCGAGATTTGAATGAGAGTGTGTGGAATAGATAAGATAGGGAAACGCAAAACGCGGCGTGATAGCCAATTTGTTGTTCATAACGTTCTAGAATGTTTTTTAACCAATTCAAGTTAAAAGGGAGGAGGATCTCAATTGGACTGTATTTTTGGATGATTGTTAGGCGATTTCCCCGTATAAATTTTTCTAAGATTGAATAGGAGTGCGTGAAATAGATAAGATAAGAAACGCAAAACGCGGCGTGTTAGCCAATTTGTGGTTCATGACTTTCTAGAATGTTTTTTAACCAATTCAAGTTAAAACAGGAGGAGGATTCTCCCCATTGGACTGTATTTTGGATGATTGTTAGGCGATTTCCCCGTATATTTTTTTCCAGATTTCTATGGGAATGCGTCAAATAGATAAGATAGGGAAACGTAAAACGCGGCGTGTTAGCCAATTTGTGGTTCATAACTTTCTAGAATGTTTTTTAACAAATTCAAGTTAAAAATGAGGAGGCTCTCAATTGGACTGTTTGTTTTGGTATTATTAAAACGGAACTTTTTATATGATCATCGCATAATAGTTGGAAAAAATCGTAAGCTGCTTAACAAATTTTTCGTCTCCTCTTTTATGCGTATTAAAAATCGCCAGACAAGCTATCCTCTAACGTCTATAGACACGCAGATCGAAAATTCATCGAATGCTTCCCAACTTCGTCGCCAAATGTGGAAAAAAATGAGACGTAAACACTACACTAATGGCTAACACAATAAATTGTATATAACATAATTGTGTATAACATACACGACTGAGGCTAAACTATACGTTGTAAAAAGGAATTATTCCTAACAATGAACAAAAAGCAATCTTCTCAGGGCTTTATAAAGTTGACACGTCATATTATATTAAGTGTTCGTTAGATAAGGATCTGTAAAACTTATAACCATCGTCATATTATGTCTGAGTAACTGACTAATCACAGTCATATTATAAATATGAATAGCTAGTTTTTTATTGTTTACTACTGTATTGTCAGTCGGGATGTTGTCCAAAACGATCTTGTACCCAAATAATTGGATCCAATTATGAAGGTCCAGTACCTTCATAATTGGACCTAACCTACACAATAGGACCTATTCGACCTCCTATCAAAAACATGATACCCATTGAACCTTCATAATTGCACCTTTCCTTCATGACAGGACCTATATTCGACCTCCTATCAAAAACCATATTACCCACTGGACCTTCAAAGAGGGACTTACCTATATGAGTACTTGTTTTCTCATTCGACTATATTGGTGAAGCCTAGATTGCGCTGGCTGCAATTTTTCTGCGCAGATAATAAATAAACTATTGTGGACGATAACATAATATTTAACTATTAATATCCGTTCAATTTTACTAAATTCTGAATTGATTGAATAAAATGAAATAGTTGTACCTAAGGCATAGCAGATTTCCCGCTTGACTTAAAGCGCCTGTCCAATATTGAACAATAAACAAAACACGGGTTCGTTTATGAGCAGACATTCCTTTAAAGGTGTACTTATCATCAAAAAAAGGGTACCTATTTCTTCGGTAAGGTGAAATTGTCGTCCCTAGACATCACTCTATTTCGAGCGTAAAATTCAATTTCTCTTATTAATTCTAGTCATATTCAGTTTTACTACATAATAACTTATTATTTAAAACTCATCCGTGATTTGTAATTTTAAATAATCAAATTGCCTCAAATTTACTATAATAATAATAATATTACTTACCGCGGCATGTTGAGTCGCGTCATTCACGTTAGTTTCAAAGTTCCACTGCGCCGCCACATTATTGGTGCACTCTTTGGAAGCTTGATCGTCAGCTTTGATCAAGAAGTCTCTGATCTGTTGAATCGAAGCTCTATAGTTTATATCGTCTATGGTGTTACTGGTTCCACCCCGGTTAAAGTCATAAGGGTTAGTACCTACGTAATTAGGGTCATTTCTGACAAAATTCGGATCGTTCCTTCGAAAATTCGGATCATTGTTGATGTCGATCCTGTCGTCCCTATTCGTTTCATCGAAAGGTCTCAAGGTAGAGCTGGGATTCCTTCCGTTCCCGTAGTCCAGATTGGGATAGCCATTGTTGTTAATATCAGGACTGATCCTGTTGAAAGGCGTTGTGGAAACCGGGTACACACCAGGGGTGGAACTTGGGTTTCTCACTGTGCTGAAACCGAAATTCTGGTTCTGCACAAATTGGTTCCCTGGGGAATTTATAGAAGGTTGTGTGCTCGACAGCAAGCCGAAACCGTTGTTATTATTATATCTCTGAGTGCTGGATATCGGCGGGAGATCCAACTGAGGATCAGCGTTGCTTATCCCTAATAATAGTAGCACTAGTTTGATTTGTATCACAGTTTTTATTTTAGTGTGGGCACAGGCCATTTTCGCGTTTGTTGTTGCGGCTGCGTTGTTCGGAATCGCGCTTGCAACTGTGGTGTCTCGCGGGTCGCCCTAAGGTTGTGCCGTGCGAACTGCGGACTGCCTAGCTAACACTTGGAGGCCGCCGATATAATCAATTGTGTAATTGATATCACCGCGGTGTGTACAGACAATTGATCATGGTGGTCTCTAATGGAAGCGGTGGTGGTGGTTGCGGAATTGGTTTAACGCGGCGAAAGTAGGAGAAAACAGTTTAAAGTAGGTAGGCTTACAATCGATATAAGAAAAAAATACCTATTAAAAGTCGAGTGTCAATTATTTTCAAATAACAGTTAGGTACTTAAATGTTTGGGAATGTTTATTCTTTTGTATGTTAATCTATGGCTTAGGGCGGCATATTAAGAGATATAAAGTAATTTTCCATTAAAGCAGATTTTGAACAACAGATACAAAATAGTGAATTTCGTGTATGAAAATTTTAATCTGCAATACGTTGATTGTTTACGTATTTAAATAGACCTGAAAATGTCAGAATATTATAAATTTAATTAATCAGTAATATTAATTTCAATTTCGAGTAAAACTTGAATAAAAATATTTGAACATCGCTAAGCTATAACTCAAGTGTAGCTTGACCAATCATTTATTTACGCTCAACACTTTTAAATTATAAAATTATGATTATTATTCAATTTTGGAGATAGATTTTATGAACTTTTATTAGATAAAAAAATATAAAATCTCTCTACAAATTCAATCAGTGAGCAATAACTCAAAATTGTAGTAACTTCTTTTTCAACTTTTTTTAATGCTTGTTTCAGTGATTGACACAACTTGCCATTGAAACAGCTCTTCAATGCCACATCTGATTAAACGAAGGCAGGCTCGCTAGATCATATCCACCACGAAATTAGCCATAATCCACCGTTGATTATATCAATTTTACGCGTCTTATACGCGTTTCAATTAATAAATTTGTTGAATGGATCATTCTCCGGTGTCATTATATTCCAAGGTAGAGCAGCAATGTTAACTTAGTTCCAAGTAATGAGTTTTGTTTCAATCAATTCTCCTACAGAAGTTTTAATAAATCTTGGATGCATCATTCTTACATACCTTTTATTTAATTTTGATGAATACTTCCATAATATATTAAGGTTATGAAGACTAATAACGCCCGTTATCTTGCTCTTGAAAAGTACCCTTGTCAATAAAAGTATGTATACCAGAGCTTACAGTTTACATTGCCAGTACTAATAAAATTTTAAATTATTTCCAAAAATCTCAGCGACCTCCGTGGTCGAGTGTGAAAGCCGGGTTTCATGGTGTCGCCGACTCGAGAGGTCCCGGTTCGAATCCCGGTGGGGGCAGATGTTTGTGTGGATAAATACGAGCATTTGTACTCCAGTCATGGATGTTTAATATGTATTTTCTATACAGATATACTTATATATGTACTGTGTATGTATTCTATCCATTACCCTAGTATCCCATAACACGAGCCTTACAGTGCTTACTTTGGGGCTAGGCTTATTGGTGTGAGTGTTGGAAATATTTATTATTTCCAAAAATAAAACAAGTTTCAACGAGTTAGATGCACTGATTTTATTTATTTATTGACGTTTCGCATCCTTTGCAGGAATGCGTCGTATTGACATCAGATGATCGAAATTAGTCCATCTAACCCGTTGGAACATGTTTTATTTAATGAGTGATGTGCTTGAAAACCTAAGAAGCAAATATTATTGCCAAAAATTAAGTGTAATGCATTTACTTAAATTTATAAAAATACAAAATATCGGAAGTAACGACGTTTAGATTAATAGTATTCCAATCATTTCCATATGTGTTTTCTTTACGAAATACTTACAAAAATATTTGTATCTGTTTTCTTGCTTGCTTATTTTATGTTTTGCTAATCCTATGAAGAGCATTTAATGTGACCGTTTTAGTTTTAATGACCCAATAAATATAAAATTTCTCCAAAAAGTTGCAAGTACAAGAGAAACAAAGTTTTCTTTTTCTATAAGTGGTGTAGGACTCATACCACCATTATGCCACATTGTACAGAATATGGAAATTTGGTCAGCTGTCACTTAGTGTAGGTATTTCCAAATGCGTGCACACTAATTGTCAAACGGTGTAGGGTGCGGTGCGTGGGTAGGTACTCTTGGGAGGAGCGCTTGCGCAACTCAAAGCGGAGCACTTCCTTGCATAACATTTGTTATGTTTGGAAATTGAATTCTTTTGGGGATTCAACGAGTTTGATTCCGTTTATATAATATTATCTATACTAATATTATAAAGCTGCAGAGTTTGTTTGTTTGTTTGTTTGTTTGTTTGAACGCGCTAATCTCTGGAACTACTGGTCCGATTTGAATGATTGTTTCAGTGTTGGGTAGTCCATTTATCGAGGAAGGCTATAGGCTATGTTTTTTTTTCAAAATTAGGGATCCGTAATAAAATTGCTATTTTGTAACACAAGGTGTAAAATCGAAAACCTATTTTTGCGTGCGCTGCAAAAACTATATAATATAGTTGGTAGGGTACTTGCCCCACCGACGTTGAACGAGATGCGAGTAAAGCTAGAAACTAGAAACGAGTAGACTAGCAAACGAGTGTTTAGTGAACGCACGCGAGCGCGTTTTGAGACAAGTGAGCATCGCTTAGTCGTTATCACTGAGCGACTATTATCTTTGAAAGCTCTTGTCGCTCTGCGATAAACAAGTGTAAGGCACACGCCGGCAGTGTAAACGTCAGCGACCACTATTAATATATGCATCTCTGTGTGGTACACGGAAAATATATCATTTGTACGTTTCATGAGCGAGATAATAGGCGATAGTTTATCTCTTACTCGCTGGCGGTGGAACAACTGCCTAATGTAAAGAAAAATAATAATAAAAAAACAAACTTTTGCGTAACGTACCTATTTCGTATTTATCCAGATACTCAGGGACGTAGTTACCCTAGGCACAACAAGGCCACGGCCTAGGGCGCTATGCTTATATTCGTCACTGTCGTTATTTTTTAATTAATTTATTAATTCTAGGGGGTTCAAATCCTAAGTAGCCCGAGGCGTAGATTTTTAAATACACCCCTGCATTTAGTCAAGATTTCAAAACTACCATTTATATGAATAGTCTAGACACCCGGGACACGGTGTGAAGATAGGTAGATAGTATTATCTGTATCGTAACAGTAGGTCACAACTTCCGTAAAAGTCAGTCCCAGGCGAGTAGTGTCAAGTTATGGTGTAGTTATATCGCTTCGTTATCGCATCGCCCTAAGAATCCTGTTCCTATCTTCGTCGCGTGAGGCGTTTGCACTGGTGACGTGATAAAAATGTTTTATGAACTTACTCGTAGTACTACAAACATAGGTACTTTTGCACATTCATTTTTTTTAGATAGTTCCGACAAATGACTCCACCCCATGGTGTTAAAGTGATGGTAAAGTCCAGACGTGAAGACGCCGTGCTGTATTTGTGTCCATGAGAAAGGTTTCTGGACTTTACTGGGTTGGGGATTGAGTTAGCCAGGTAATCAGACGAATTTTAATTCATTTTACCTAATATTAATTCAAATTATGTTCAAATAATATAAATCAACAATTTGGCATATTATAGATCTTGTTTTCCTTTAAGACATTTTCAGAAAGGTCAAAGAATTAAATTTGGTGTGGGTAATTTAAATACTCAATTCGTTTCAAAATATCTTAATTCAAATAGGAAGAATAATACAACTCTTTTAAATCATCCATATTTTTTAAGGACATTTTTTTAGCTGTGGAGAAGAACGGGCGAAAACACCTTCACAGCGTCAAACCTACTAAACTCAAAATTCACTTAATAATATGGCCTTTTAAAAAATGTTTGTACTGAGTAGATCGGAAAGAGATATAGTAGATTGCGGTGCCTTTATGACAAAAAACCGAAGAAGGTGCAATTGTCTTCCACGCAAGACGGAATGTAAGTTATGTTTGAAGGAACATTTACTCACTGATCTATATAGAGCTGGAACCACAGAACCACAACTCCTAGGAATATTGCTTTTTTTTCATAACAAGAAAATTATTTGAATAGAGAAGCTCATGAAATTTTGTAGGTTAGAGTTATTTCCATATTTGTAAGAAATATAAAGACTCGCCATGGAACGCACTAAGCCCCCGTTAAATATTTATTTTATTCTATTTTTTATATTTGCTGTTATAGCGGCAACAGAAAAACATCATCTGTGAAAATTTCAACTGTCTACGTATAAGTAATACAGTCCCGATTTACCCTTTGGGTACGGAACCCTAATAAACAAAAGTACACAACTCTATGATGTTTTCTAGTTATAGATAACACGCTTCTAATTTACCAATATGAAAGTCAGGTAATTAAAAAAGGGTACACTCTCTCGCTGCGGCTACACTTCGCTACAGCGTGTAAATATTTTTTGTTTTTCCAGACAAAAAGCCCTATGTGTGTGTTTTAGGTAGTACCAATACAAATTACACGGGAACTATACGAGACAAAAAACGTGTCATTTTATTCGCTACTACAGCTTATTTAAAGAAATTAATGTAAAGATATTTTGTGATTACTTATTTTGACAGTTGCTGACGACGTTGACACGCGAAGGCTTAAGAGTGAGATTTAACCTGCTTTATGCATGAGAGTGAATGAGTACTCTATTGGCGGCTGTTGCTGTTGAAGTCGGGGCGGGGACTACTTTTGCCATTTTAAAATGCAATAATGTTGGCGTATAACCTGTTTATATATGTATACGTCATTGACACAACTACACACAATACGCTACGAAACAACTGACGGTTATGACGACGTTTCTGGAGCATCAGCTATCTTCACCATTGGTTTCTACTTGCTTTTGACATCAATTCAGATAAAATTATTTGTGTGCTTTGTATATAATATAAACAAGTAAAATAAGTACCCTTAAAATTAAAGGAAATAGGTACCTACAGTACAAAGTCGCTCAGCGCGCTATGGAAAGGGCTATGCTCGGCGTTTCTCTGAAGGATCGCATCAG